GCACGAGTGTGTTTTCTCAGTACAGAAAAGTCCCTATTTTGTTGATAGAGTAAAATATGTGTAGTCTTATAAAATAATTGTCTAAATGTTAATTAAAAACCGAGTCTAAATAAAGACAATTGTTCTTCTAACTATATATTATATTATTTTAAATTATACATTTATTGACATTAATAAAAACAATTTAATAGTAATAATGATAGTCCTAGTATAATATTCCTAATAATATAATTGCGTGTGATAAATTTTAAAACATGGAATAACGCATAAGTCGACATCACAATATTCACATTGATAGCTGGTTTCACATTTTTTATCTTTATTTTACTATAATATTTATTATCACATTACTGAACGCAAGCATACATAAGAACAGTTGTTTTAATACGCATAAAACATAGTATCCAAATGATTGTTGCGATTATGGTATAAAGTATCGAGAGCCGACTAACGTCGACGCTAGGATCAGGCTTGATACGTGGATGCCGGCATTAGGAACGAAAGGGTTAAACAGAGAATAATCTTTTCAATGAGGCCAAATGCCCCTTGCTCACTTCTCGATGCCGCGGTGGATGGTATTCTCGCGACGGATTCCACGCACTTCTGCCTGTAATTGGTGTCTCTGCGAAGACAATGAGTATCTGTGCCTTTGTCATGTTGTCTGAAATGTTCGGGGCGATAACGCTCTACGGTCCCACTAGATCGCCGATGCACAACCCTGTCTGCTTGAAGAGCGGTATTAACCTACATAAGATGTATCTAATCAAAGTCTTGTTATACTCTCGACGCAAGTTTCTCGACTTATATTTCGGAAAAATAGGGAAGGAACATTCTCTAAGTAACTACAAAAATTATACTTGTCACATGAAAATCGTGCTCATTATTATGCTTATTTCATTTAATCTGTTACTTTTATCACGGCAGAATAGCGGACAACAAGCGGAGGCAAGAATATAATAAAGTGCCCAGAATAGCAACATTGTACATCGGGCATATATCGGACTTCTTTCTGTTCGAATTGTCGCAGCCAAGAGCGCTTCGCAAAAAACAACTTGGAAGAATAGTTTGTCGTTTGATGGGCAGACGTGTAGTCAGGCGAGATAATCGATTTTGCGCTTTGGCTCGTTTTTTATCGCACAAACGTCATTATACACGTTCCAAGAACGAGACCTCGATCCTCGACGGAAAAACTCAAGTCGCGGGTAGCTCCGCCTGCTCTTTTGCAAACAAATATTTTCTCGAATGTGCGTAATCGGTATAAGCGTGAACGAGGCCCGGACATCTCAAGATACAACAGCTACGATCCAGTTAAAGCCAGTCGGATCCGACTGGCCTGGTGAAGCATTTGGAATACGGGTTGTTTTGGGATTTGCCTCGTTTTCGCTTATCCAAAATGCGGCTTATATCAAGAATAATAAACAAATATGTCTTGAATGATGTCTTGCGAAAAAGAAAGAAAAGAGTTGCAATTAATTTCGAAAGAGTGACTTGCTCATCACGATAATAACGACTTTTACGTCAAGTACGTTCATTTCTTGTTCTTTTCTTAATATTTTTGCTCGGATTTTTCCTTCGGAGAATGTAAGATTTTCTTTTTCTTTCTGAGGAATATAAAAATGTTTAAACACAATGTAATTGTTCTCAATATTCTGATGATAACTAGCCGAAGAGCTCATGTTCAGTATGCGATCTTTTGCACGTGCCACGTCGACCAATACGGCTTTTTGCCAGGCAACTCTTTCAGAAAGAGACGTAGTTGCTCCTGAAGAAATACGCCACGAGGAATATACCGAATAAGGTCAAACCGCTGCGAAGAAAGAATATAGCTGATCGATCGAGCAACACGTGGTTCAGATGTACCAATGTTTGCTATGGAGCTAAAGTGGACGAAAACTAATCCGTATGAAATGTCTTACGCAATTGTCAAGAATACTTTTCGCAAATATTTGCGCGTTGCTATGTGACGTTACACGCGTAAAACTGTAACCGCGCAGCTCGAGATCACTCTGATTTTCTAATTTTTTTGTCAAATTCACGGCGATGAACTCGAGAATATATTCTGTCTCGCAACAGTAGAAAGACAGTTGTGCGGAAAATGATTAGAAACTCCCTGGCAAAGTGGAATGTGACTTGTGATGGATAAAACTTCTAAAGGCGGAGCTTTTAAGTTCATTTAACCAAGCTCAATTTAATCGGTCGATTGACACATTAACTTTCATAATATTAACAATAAGGATTTCTCAAGTAATACATATTACTTCGAAAAATGATATATTTTAATAGTGGAAACCAAGGAAAAACAAACAATTTTATAAATAAATATCGTAACTTTGTGTAACTTTGGCCCAATCAGGATAACTTTGACTCAAAACATTTATTTTCCATGAAACAATTACATACAGTCAAATATGGAATATCACATCAGCGGCAAAGTTATCCCACGTCATGGTAATTTTGTTTACAAACACACATTCAAACAATTTTTGTGGCCGTCATAAATTTGAAAAAAAATTGTACCACTCACTTAAATCTTTCCTTTTTTCTTGCTGAATACGGAAAAACGGATTACCGCAATAATAATCAAACAATCTTTATAATATTGTCATCAAACAGTAGAAAAAAACAAAATTTTAGGCTAAAGTTACGGCACATTAAATAAAACGTCAATTAAGAAGAGAAAGAGAAAGGGAAGGAAGGATTAAGTTTCAATACTTACGTCATTAGGATCTATAGGAAAAACTATTTTAACTATAATAGACAAGCGCAGTTTGTGCAAATAAATCCACCAGAAAATTGGCGTATTCATGCAAAAAAAACGGACAATATTGGATGCATCAGTTATCGTTTCTAAAAATATCCGATATGCTGAACGCATTATCATCTTTTTTGCGTCTTTACGTCCACAGTAAATGCTTGTATTTAGAGCATACATTATCACAATTAAAAATAATACGTTAACTATACGACAGAGTTGGGAAACAACAAAATTTACTTCCCCCTAATATTCTTAACACATCGAATTCTAACATGTAACAAAACTATTTACACGTATATTTTGCACAATATAGAAGTATGTAAGTAAAGATAGAAAGAGAAATACGCGCCCAATAAAAAGATGTAAAGATTTAAGTTTGGCGAGAAAAAGAATTAAAAGGGGTGCTCCAACGTTGATATGTGACAATATAAGAGCGTTACCAGGAAAATTCATATGGTAAGAGAGAGAATTTGTTCTTACGAGAAAGTCATTCCATGTGGAAATTGAGCAGAATAGGGAGTTTCCGAATTATATGTTGTGTTCCTCCAGAAAAATCATTAGGTAGAGAAAAGCATCCAGTAGCCGACACTCGCCAGCATTCACCATTTTTCACCAGGTTTTCTTGCTGGAACCCCATCAAGTGCATCAAAGTTTACAGACATTTATTAATTATATTACTTATTTGTTTTTCTGAAAATTTCCATCTTAATATCCGCACAAGAATGCCGAAAATAGGCAGAGTACTGACTAATGGATGTTCTCCCCTACTCACGAATAACAAGGTAGTAAAACATTTTGCTATTATTGAAAACAAACTCACTTTATTCAAATACAATTGAATTTGGTCATGAGAGGTGGGAGAATTGTACAAATTAGTGAAAAAATAGCGGTTGGTAGCGCAAAATTTTAGAATCCCGAGAAACATTGGTACTTCATCATACTTATGATTGTCACGCATACAAAGATTCGCTCACATTTTTACGATATTTTATCACTAAACGAAATAAGAATTATCATTACTAAACTTATACTTAACTTATTATTATAAACTTATCGCGCGATCGATTATAATCCAAATATACTTACGCAGATATATTATAACACAGATTTTTTTCTTTTAGTCGGTTTGATATATACACACACCGACACATATACAATGTAATTATGTAGATATATTATTGTTATCATATTATATAAGATAACACAGATTCCTTTTTTAAAGTCGGCTTACTATACGATAAGAACGATAAATACTGGATACATCAAATTTCGATATTTTTCTACGTAATTTTATTTTTTCTTATTTAATAGTATCATATGATAAGATATGTATTTTTGAAGATCGGCTATAAGATAAATACCGCTTGTAGATAATGTTATATATTTAGCGATATTATTATAGCGATTATTATTATACTTATAATAGTAAATAATATCGCTATCGGTTACGTTAAATTCGCAATTTTTATGGTATTTGAAAGATAGTCGACGCGTCTTTATCAATCTTACTTACAAATTACGACATTCAATTACTCTCTAGAAATTATCGTGACATCTTTACATTATGACACGAGGTGATTGTATTTCCTTTAAGGATACAATAATTAACTAGTTGGTTAATACTTCGTAAATATTCTTAAGAGACTAATTTCGAAACTAAATATTTTTTTAGAATTTTACTTATTACTAGATATCAGGTAGAACATTTTTACAGAAAATAACTAACATAATTATACTACTAAATACATATAATACATTGTACTTAGACGGACATTGGCATTCAGTCCGTACAATTAGGTTCGTCGGAAAAAGAAAAACACCGGTACCCTTTAGCCTATACATCCCAATCCAGATAACATAATGTCTAAAATCGGGACATAAGACGTCTTAAAGATCATTTTTAAAATGTCTTTCAGATGATTTACGTATAAATGTCTTTAAGGCGTCTTAAAGATTATCTTTAGATATTATGTTGTCTAAGAAATCACCATACTCAAATTTCGCGAGAGCGTAAAACGAATTGAACAAGAAAATCTCATATGGTTTTGCAATAATTATCGAAATATTAATTAAAGAAAATTTGTAAATGAACACGCTTGATATAGTAGATGAGCAAAGTCTGCCGTTGTGCACAAAAAAAAGTTTGGTTGAATTAACGAAATATCTGGTCGAATATGAACGATCCAGAAATTCCCGATTGAAGTAACCCGAATTCTATGAAGTCAACCAAAAATCTTGTTAACTTAAACAGAATTCGGGTTATTTTAATCGGAATTTCTAGATCGTTCATATTTAACCAGATATTTGGTTAATTCGACCAAATCTTTTTTTCCGTGTATACTTATCCATTTAGTTAGATCAAATTGAATAAAAAAGTCATATATCATTTTGCACATAACTATATAGATTCTTAGTTATTAATTAAAGTACGTTAGTGCATTATCGCGGACAATCATACACCAATCTTCTTTAATTAATAAAAACTAAAGATCTACGTAATTATTTGCAAAATGTTAGAGGACTTTTTAATGCAATATAATCTAGTCTATAAGCGCAAGATGGCAAGCGTCGCTGTCGCAACTCATCTGCTGTACCGCGCGTGATCATTCGTCAATCTTTTCTGATTAATATCTCAATAATTATTGCGAATATCGCAAAACCATATGAAACTTTCAATCCGTCCTACGCTTTCGCGAAGCTTGAGTACAGTGATCTGGGATAGAAATTAACGATTCATATATGTAAATAAAATCTCTTGGTTGAGTTCATCGACGCAATTGTTGGGAAGATTAACGCTCTACATATACTCTACAAATAAGAGTACTAAGTATAGAGAGAGATATGCCACGAATTACAATATATTCTGCATATAACAATAACAACAACAACAATAATAACGACAATTATAATACCTATTGATTCGAAAAGAAATCAGATATGCGCTCGTCCTGTTCCATTATCGTCAAAATGGATAATTTTGTGTTATCAAGGATAATTATACTATGTAAGTATAACATGTCTATATAGAAGTCACCCATCGCGTCTCATGCATTGATTTGACAATTTTTTGTTTAATTAATATTTCAATATTATTGTGATTGCGTTTGTACAAAGTGATAAAGGGCTTTTCTGTACAATTTTAGGATCTGTACTTTATAGGAACGTTGCTACATTTCAGTTCGAACGTCCTGTATAACATTCATATTAAGTATATTCAAAATCATGTAGCTCACGATCAATATTAAAACAATGTCGACTAATGAGATAATAATGAGATAATGTGAAAATATTCCCAATTTTTTTAAAAACTAAATTTTTTTGGTTGTACCATGCACATCTATTACGTTAAATTATTAAAAAATACAAAATTTATTAATCTTAATATAAAATCGGGCACGTCTCTCTATTTCTTATTTTTGGTCTTGAATATTCCGTAGATGCTCGACATATATCATCACATATTAGATATATTAGGTAGGTATGTATAAATGTTATATATATATATATATATATATATATATATATATATATATAAATATACATGAATACGCACATATATATAAACGTTTATATTATATATGTAGAAATATTTTAACATTATATATCAATAATTACGTATCATTATATGTCAATAATTACAATATATATATCTATATGTATTACAAGTATATAAACATTCATTATCTATAACCTTAGGGATACTCAAAAGAATAGCGTCACTGTTTGAAAGGTTTATAAAAGCTCCCTATCTGAATATTAAAAAGTGACATTGATTAAAAAGCAATAGTGAATTGAGTTGGCTTTTATTTTGTGAAAAATTCTAATAAATAATAAAAGATGCCGATTTCGCAGATAATAAGAATGTATTTCTATATTCACCTTGACCAATATATCAATAGTAGCAAAAACATCCTCCATTAAAGAAAATGTTTTTTTCTTTCTGAGTACCCCTAAAACACACATATATCGATGAAATCGCGAATTATCATTAAAACGACCGCGCAAGTATTAATTTAAGCAGCGACTGTTCGCTTGCAGCTCGATTGCAACTACAAACAAATAAACTAAATCTCACATATCACAAGATATTATCGCCCTATACTTCTGGTAACAATCAGTTCTCCGCGAAAAATTCAGTTCGTCTGACAATACGTTCCAGTACCCAAACAAAATGCTCATAATCCATCATGTTAATTTCATGATTACCATTTCGTACTACAAAACTACGTACAACATAGTGCCTTCTTTCCTTTGCCTCGCAAGACATCAAACGACAGATTCGAATTGAGTGACGTTTGGCATTTCCGCAGAGCTTACATTTACTGTGACTAGCGATTGATCAAAACTCGCGCATCTATTTATCCTTATTACTGATACGACAACATCGCTGGATGAGATCTTCACGGCTGGTGTAAGTGTCCGTATTGTCCTTCAGCAAAATAACCGATCTTCGTCGTTTCCAGCGTAGCTCATCTCGTAGGTTGTTCTCACTTTATTCCAGCGTGCCGCCGGAGAGTTTTGTCGCGTACAGATTTAGTGCCTTAAAGAGAAAAGTTTTTTATTTTAAACTTCGGCTCTCTCCTAAAAGTCTTTCTACAATGTCGTTGTAAAGCGAGCGGGTATAGTTTCCTGCCACGCTGAATAAAGCAAAGATCGCATAGCGTTAACGCGATTGATAGAATCGACAATCACCTTGTATATCAATGCATATTGTTCTTTCGTTTGAACTGCGCCAGCACGGTCTTTTCTGATAGTGTAAACGACCCTCGGCATGTCCACGGTCCTCGTAATTTCATATTGTCTAATTCCTAAATCGAGAGCTATTAACGTGCCGGTACGTCCAGTACCGGAACTGCAGTGGACTACGATGGGTCCAGGACCTCCTCGATGTAGTGCTCTCGCCTCGAGAAGCACCGCTATTAGACTCGCGCCGTCCGACTCAACGTCACTCAGCGACCAGAAGTACCAAATATGGTATACTTCTCGAAATGTATTGTTTTCCAGGTTCTGCAAAAGCTGTCTAATTAGTCACATTTCCCAGACAGAACGTTTCGACATATTCGTCGCCGAATATCTTCCTGCTAAAATCTAACTACACTCTAACGAAATATCTAACACCTACCACCCAGACAGTGCACTAGTTTCTAAAAAATATCTCAAAAGCGTTCTAAAGGCATCCGGTTTTTTTTTATGTTTTTCAAACGTTTCTATACCGTCTTTTAAAAGTTTGTGTCGTCTGGGTAGACACTATTCATCCACGAATCTCGATTGCGCTATATTATATTTTCAATTAACAAGACTTGTTGCAAAACGTTTATACAAAATTAAAAATACTGGCTAATCTCAAATGGAAACTGACAAAACAATTGATACGGTATCATCGGCATTATGGTATTATCAGTCGTCAAGGCAGTCTTATCTGTCTTAACGTTCTGCATACTCCTATTATCACCAGTTGACGTAATAATGCAATTAACAATGCTCTTTACCTTCAAATGTAACATGGAAATGGCGTATTTCTCTTTGGTTTCTCGCTTTTTCAGGGTGACTTGAAAGTCACCGTAAAGTCGATGACAATCGGTCACTTCTGAAGGTGGGATGTACTCTGTGCACTTTTCCACCCCATTCTCGACCAGGTGAGTTAACATGATAATCACTTTACAATGCTGCTCCCAGATCATCCTCCAGAAATCGATCACGGTCGTGTCTAATGGTGCTTGGCATGCGATGTAGTACTTTACGGCGTTCTTGGGTCCCTGAGACATCAATATGCGTTAAATTACTATATGTTATTAATATGTTGTATGTGTTGTATATGCATTATGTATATATATTACATTAATAAGATATTACTCTCAAAAAAATATAATCGTTATAAATACATTTTAAAGGCACAATAGTATTGTTCTGCATTAGAAGAGAATTTTTGAATACTAGGATATTTTTTTTTGGTTTTAAAAACTTTTCTTGAAGCCATATGAGAGTATTTCGCTAAGGATGAGATTATATTTATATGTGTGTAGTATTGATAATATTATATTTCATCATTGTGATTTAATTTGTATAATTGTAATTATAATTATATATAATATACAATTATATAATTATGTTATTAAGATCTCGCAAAAATTAAATAAAGTGAAATAGTCGATGAATTTATCGACTGAAAAAATTAGTGATTTTACAATTATCTGAAAAGTGGCAGAAATACAGATACCACTCTGTATTAATGAAAGAAATATGGTTGAAAATATGGCGAGGTCTTAATGCGTTCTTAAAAACGATACGCAGGGTCGTAGCATTGTTCTCCTCAACAAAATACATCACGCGACACTTTCCATTTATTCACGGACGATCATCGAGCCACTTGTAGCACGACCATTTTCATTAGGACGCGCAATGTTTTCGAGGCATTGCACGATCTTATCGAGTGCCGAGTGAAATTAATTGCACGTCAGACGGTGTTCCATTGGCCGCATTCGGCCGCGCATTAGTGCCCGGACGCTGTGTAATTGTAAGACATATATACGTATGTATATAAGGATAGAAACGCATCACGAATGCGATCGACTGTATTCACGATACATGAGGCAATCCCGACCGGAAACGCCGCCGCGGAGTACGTTTGTCGATCGAGGGATTCATCTCTAATGGATTCCTCGTCCGTTTCCATCGTCTCCCATGCGGAAGAAATTCTAACATGTGTGAGATTAATGGCTCGCAGGATATATCGTTGCTTTAAAAAGTTGCCTTAAGAACGCACGGCGACTTTGATGGATTTTCGCTGTCGCATTGTATATGTCAAACAAAAGTTACTCGCAATTACATTAAAATTTGCTCGAAGCATCGCGTTTGGAAACAAAATTGTTCGTTGCGTAAAACGTTACGACACGTATGGCGCGTAACGCGTTTGCGATATCCCCTCGTGAATTTATGCAACAGAAGGAAATTCCGCAGACAGTTTTTTTCTTTCTGCTCGGATATTACTATTGTTTACGCAGATAGACCAGGATTCAGAAGATTTTTGAAGTCATTTGTTTTAATTTCTTGTATCCACTCACCATTCTCTCTCTCTCTCTCTCTATTTTTTCTCTTTTTCTTTCAGAATGTCGCTTCAACGAACGACTTTTTGCTCTTCTTCGAGGGTTCTTTCTACTTCGTTTGAAATGTATGAGAAACACGCGTAATTCCAGACAAACGATCGCTCTGTAATATAATCTTACACATGCGAGCGATTAGCCTTTGCCTCTCTGACCCCGTTTTGTGAAACGTCGCGATTAAAAGACGAACTAGTTATTCCGCGAACAATTCCCGACGCTTCCGCGTCTGCGTTCCCAGCTTACGCGATACAATGCGCTCACTTTCCCGCCGGTACGTTACGCAACGTTCTTTTCCCACGCGTCGCGCGTAAACGCTTTGCCGGTCTTTAACACTTTGACATTCGCTCTGCATCATTGCTGACATAATACGCGAGATTTTGTATAGATATAAAATACAGAACTCCCACGCGTATGCGCGCTAACTGTCTGCTCAAACATCTGTTAACCCTTTAAGTCATAGTATATCATATATGATATACCTTTTTTAGAGCAGTTTTTACGAATTTAAACTAATTTGTAGAGACTTCGAGGCGGTAAATGTGGATTCATTGTGAAGCTTAGATTTCCTTCTAACAGAATCATTTGCATAGAACATTAAATTTTGCAAATTTAATTATTTATAAACAAATTAATGTAGTAAAATGGTATTTTCTTGAGAAAAATTTATTTTTCAAAAATATTGTAAAGTAAACCTATGGAATAAATGGCTTGGTTGATACTTTTTGAGCTGTAAATGATGACACAACCTCAAAAATTTCAAAATTCAAGATAGCGAACTCAATATAGCGAGCTAAAATACCAAAAATCGGGATAAGTTATATTTTTTTCCGTAAAAGAGTGAAGTTGAGTGAATAACTTGAATTTAAAAAAGTGATTTCGAATTCGTGATCAACGACGCCAAAAACCTTCGGATACTAATTTTCACGAAAATCGAGAGTTTTAAAATTGTTGCCCGCCATATTGGATCCGCCATCTTGAATTTTCAAAAACTTTAAATTCGTAATTAGCGACCCCAAAAATCTCCAAATATCGATTGAACAAGGGAAAAGTTTGTGCAGAAAAATTCGTGACTTAAAGGATTAAACTGACGATATTATTGATATTAACTGGTATCGCACCGATAAAATACTCTCTTTTGCGTGTATAAAAATAGAGAAAAACGCGTTACACTGTAAATTCCAATAAAGACGATAAATTTTATTTTGAATTCACTGTGATAATTCTTGCCACGACCGGAATTTATTCCACTGAAGTGTGCGAATACATTATTTCCTGGCAATAATACTTACTCGTTGCGAGTTTGCAAAGTATAAATTCTCGTCGCAAAACGCAGTTTGAAAACCGCTGATCTATGCAAATACCGTCGGTAATGTACTTCTCGCTCTTCTTCCTCTCTGAAGTACGAAAGTCTTTATTCAAAGAAGATAAACTCGATTTACGATCTTGGTATTACGTGCTGCTTGGACACACACTTGGATCATCTTATAGCTATAGATAGAATTACTAAAAGAGAGAGAGAGAGAGAGAGAGAGAGAGAGAGAGAGAGAGAGAGAAAGAGAGAGAGAGAGAGAGAAATCACGGTTAAAGACAAAACTGATTATCACTTCATTATTTCTGACGTAAGTAATTTCGTGTTATTTACTGAAACAACAATTTTCTTCGCTTTCCACGTAGCTTGTGTAACCCGGAGACTACGTCAGAAGGAAATTATAATCGCGACAATACGGAAAATCGTGGAGTAACGCGGACGTAAATTTGCATAAGTTCGCGACCCAAACTCCCGGATTTATCCGCAAGAAAACAAGACGACCGTGAGCTTCGCAAGCTACCTTTTATTTCTCGTTTCTCGGCTCGTTCGCTATTCATCTGAAAATTAATTAGCTCAAGCGTCTCCCGTGGACCCCCAATTTCCGGAAACAACCGTGATTCAGGGCTCAGCTGCGAGCTTCGGTTATCGTCGTCTGCGGTGTCTCGTGTTCCGTCGTCGTAAATATCGGGAAAGCGTGGTCTTCAACGTGGCTGTCGTGTGTACGGTGACAAAGGGGATCCTCGTGGACCACACGATCGAGAGATCGGTCCGACTAAAACGTCTCACTTACCCGCACGTAACTGGCATTGATGTACTCAGTCATCGCGTCATTGTTTAGTCTCTTTAGCGATACCCTCGTCTCCGGAAACGGTATCACGTTGGCGTATCTGTTCTTCAACTCCGCGCCCGGGGGCAGCTCGTCTATCTCCGCCCAAAACTGAGGTATACTCAGGAACTCCTCGTTGATTAGGTTAAGGTCGTTATAGAAATATAAAAGCCCGGTGAAGTTCAGCGGGTGGGATGGTATGGTGCTCTGAAACAAGGGCGGGTCTTTCACAGGAACACTTCGCTCGCAGAGTACACATGTCCTTTCTACCGAGCCCTCGTGAGGCACAAAAGGGATTATACTCGATGGCGATCGCGGCGGGAGGTGAACGTGACGATGAAATTCGACGGGTCGGCGTGTATAATGTTGACGTGAAGTTTCGAGCAGCTTTGCTGAAAGCGCGCGAGCCCAATCTACCTTTGAGGACTAAAGGCACGGCTTTCAAATGACATGATAACGACAATCGAATCTTATTGACTACAATAGTTCTGTTAATTTAGGACTCATATTGTCGATCGGACAAAAGCGAACTAGTAATTACAAAATGCATGATTGCGTAACTAATGCGTCAAATTTTGCGATGAACTTTCAGATATACTACAGGGAAATATCTCTTATTCTTCTTTGGCATTTTCATCAAATTTTCTTCGCCCCAAATATGCATTCGAAACGCAAGTACTTTCAAAGAATCGAGGTAAAAATAATTCTTTGCAATATTAATTCTTGATGTGATTCGTCGGTCATTTCTGGGCAATACCATTGTTCTTTTCATGTATGAGTAAAAAAAAGCCAGGACAAAATTTTTTTTCATTATTTAAAATCTCTATTTTCTGTTCAAAGTATGCGCTATCCGCCAATGTTAGTAATTTCTTTTGCAAAACAGGAAGGAAGGCATATAATTATTGACTGTCTGACTGAAAGTAACCCACGAATCACACGGTTAATCGGTAGAAACTAAGTACTATAAATAGGGGCCGACCTGTTGTTCCAACTTCTTGGTAAGCTACCTGACAGTTAAATCATATGTTTGTTTTCGTTTTTCCTTCAAATTGGACAGAGACAGACACACGATTTAACTGCCAGGTAATTTACTAAGAGGTTGGAACAATCGACCCTAAGACTCTTCTACGCTCATGTTTCGTACGCTGTTTTATAATAATACAAATACACACGAGCGCAAGGAACAGTATTATTATTCTGCACTTTATTACCTGAACGATTTACTTAGATCTATACTTTCGTAACACGTAGTAACTATAAACAGAAGAAAATCACTATTGGAGTGTATTGGAAAGTATATAAACACACACGTTAACCCTTTCATGGCCAGTGGGATATATTTATTCCACTTACAAAAAAAATCATAATTTTAAAACAAATAGTTCTATTGACTTCTATCTTAGCTTATTTGAAAGAGAAAGGTTCAGTCTACGTATAAAAAATTAGTGTACTCTTAAATTTAATGCTTTCAAGAAAATATAGTTATTTAAATTTGTTAAAGAATCTAGCTTTTAGGTAGTAAAGATTAACCTCATAATTTGTCAAAAAATTATTGACTTGTTACAAATTATAAACTTGAACATTTTATTTGATTGTGAAAAAAATAAAAAAAATTGAGTTTTATTATGGTAAAGACGTATAACAATTTATATGTATAACTAAAGTGTGCGCAACCTATATTTCGTCAAATTCAGGATACTTCTGCAGTTCCAAATGCAATGTAGGCTAAATAATCATACACACACATACACACACACACACACACACACACATATTCTTTATAATAGATTTCATCATTTTGACGCAATATTTAATTTCAGTTTCTGTTTTATAACTTATCAGTTTGAGTTTTATAACATATCAGTTTGAGTTTTATAACTTTAAATCTTTAAATAGTTTTTATATTTTATAATCTACGACCTTGAAAATCTTATATGAGCAATTTATATCCAAATTAGATTAAATTAATTTTTTGCATCCGCCATATTGGATCTGCCATTTTGAATTTTTCTATTTTGACTTCAGATTTGTAATCAACGATCTCGAAAGACCTCAGAATCGTCTCAATATAAAACATATCTCTTGTGGGAGAATCGTGGCCACGAAAGGGTTAAAATTAAGTAATCCTTCTGTGTATATAACGTGATACTCTCGCACTGAGAAAAATAGTTTTGTAAATTTAACCAAATACCAGTACCCGCAATACATGGTCAGTATTATAGGACAGCAAACAATTTTATTATAAGTAGAAACAAATTATTTGTTGCTTTTAGTTTGCAGCTGTAGCAACGTTTTTGTAATGAATATAAATGCTACTACACAGTTAATCCAACAAATTATAAATTTAATTTGCTAAAAATGCAGAAGTTAGAAATAGCATTCAGCAAATCAGTTGTAACAAAGAAAGAAAAGAGTTTCTTTCTGCAAGAATTTGGGGAAAGAAATAGCAACGCTTCAGCGGTTCGCATACCGGGTCTATTTCTTCGAAACCACTCATTTTTTGTGCCGCAATATTTCACATGCACACGCACCAGCAGCTATTTCATTCTGACCAGGCTTGGCAGCAGTGATGCGAGCTCACACGGACTATCGCAATGCGAAAGTTTCATTTGTCTTCGAACAAACTGTTTCTCCTTACAACGCTTGCCGTTATTGATGCTATAAGTTGTACTTGTAATAAATTTTGTACGTCCAACAAATAATGTGATTTGTATCTCAAGTCATGTATGTCTGTTAAAATGACAAATGATGAAAAATGATTTGTAACTATTCGATCTGTTTCCGTAACGATCATCAGACAGCAAACGTGCTTTTACTTTGATAACAAAAGTACCTTTCTCAGTGCGTATGATTCACATACAAAATGTTCGGGATTCTGCTCGGCTCTTTCGGTTTGCTTCTGGAATATTCCGTAGGAATATTCTAGAAGCATTCTAATAATAAGATCGAGTGAGCTGAGAGACCGCATGACAACAATGTCTCGCGAGCGATGTGTTGTGCCGCCGAAATCAAAACATGATTCGGCGAATATCAGCGCAATTACTTGGAATCGGCGACACATCACAATACCGCTACATCATCATGTATCAGAGCCGATTCTCGACAATAATAAATCTCGCTCAACTCTCGCGACCGTTTTCGCGCTGAACCAATAAGATCGGCCAGCGTAGCCGACGCGACATTTATAAAACGACCGTGTAAGAAATCGACAGCTCAGAGCACAAAAATCTTGTATCACGTTCGTATAACGATATAGGACTCCGCGATCTCATTCCAGCCTTAACGACTGCTTCTTCGCGTTTCCGATCGTTCTCCATCAAAGACGAGTTGTGTCTAAAGCTACTCTCATCGTTTTGTTATTCATTAATAAAGATTGTTAAGTTGTTAAGTTAACAAGTGATTGTTAACAAGTGATTGTTAACTTGTTAAGTTTAATTATTGCACGTGCTCAAATTATTTACAACCACAAGTCGGTCCTTGAAAATCAGCCCGTGTTCGCGCGCCCTGCACTGGGTGTACCGGTGGAAGCGGAATTACTAACACCTCTAAGTCCGCGTACACAAAACGTTCTTACAATTAATCCTCACGAACTTACCGAATCTTCGAAGGTCGGATTGCCGTAACTTCTGCTGGCTCTCGTCGTAACTTTCCGTCTCTGTATGCTGTTGTATGCCGAAATGTTGTCGAGGCTGAAAGTGTCCAAGGATACCGGCTGGCAGCGTTGTCCGTAATTGAATCTCGTTCGTCTCCTTTTCACTATGAACTGCAAGCAGTTAAGCCGAAGATTAACGACCAGGTATGTTCAGCCAGACAAATGTAGAAGCCCATCTAGCACGTTACTATTGTTACTTCACAGCTTTCTAAAGCCGTCCAGTCGTCTATCGTGATACTCTATTACCGAAGTAGACTTCAAGTACTCACAATGTCCCGAAATGCGGTGACGGTTAGCTTAGTGGCCATGCATTGAATCAATAACCTCTATTCGTCAGCGTGCAAAACAGATTCATAAACGATAATGGCGTGCCGAATTTTAATCCGACGCTGTTCTATTTTGCAAACTTGATTTTCTTAGAATTCAAGTTAGAATTGGAATTAGGATTGGAATTAGAACTGGAAACTGATTATTTTTTTTTTTTTTTTAATGTCCTGGGATAAATTCCGTTTAAGCAACAACGTGAATACAAAAACAATAATACGAACGATCGATGCTAAAAGAAAAAGAAAATGTGTGTGTGTAGGTCAAATGTGTGTAGATCAAGTGTATGTGGTTCAGTAATAAAGGAATTAATATAAAGTAGTACGCGCGAGGGAAAAGGAAACATAATATAATAAGCCAAATTGTGCGTAATGTAAAGACGAATTATGACATGGAACGATATGGAGATGATAATGAGATACTTGTGCTTTGTAGAGCGAAATAATACTTAAAAGTGGCTGAGATTGAAGTGATACCGCTGTATGACAGCTTTTTTTAATAGCCGAAGGACATCACAGGCCAACTTGCAATGTCCGAAATCGGAAAAGGCTTACACTGTTAAATCCGTAGTGTCAAATTATACTCAATTTGAGTTATTTTTAACCATTCCTAGAAGTCGCCACTGCTCCTACTAAATATGTCGTTAATTTAACTAATGTAATGGAGTTAAATAATTTAACTTAAGAAATGTATTAAATTTGACTAAAATTTAGTTTATTTTTTATTGTGCATACGTTAATGTAACCTTTGTTTTAGTAAAAAAATGACTTAATATTGTTTTAAATGGGTTGATTAGATGTGGTTGTTTTTTTAAACACATGTTTTGTGTTAAAATAGTAAATTTTGACACACATGATAGTTAAAAATAACTAAATATTATTTAACTCAAGAAATTGGTTTAAATTTGACCCTTCAATATTTAACAGTGTATGATGGATGCTATGATGTTGAAGCATAAACAGTCAGGCAGTTTTTATATTCGTTCCGGTGAATATCGTTGCAACGATTAAATGCGCGGTATAATTCGTGAGATTCCACGCGTTCCGTTCCCTTTCATCGCGCGGTTGAGAAACGACAACGTTCAATTACCGTATGATCGGCATATCAGAAAAGAAATCGAGGGAATCCTGCATCGCGAGGCAGCGCTCGGGACACATAGCAGCCGGGTCGTTTCAACATCGTCATTCGCATGCACAACAAAGACCTCGCGAAAATACGACGAAGCGCGCAACATTAACCCATTAACGCCCAAACTTTCTGAATTTTTACTAAGTTTTCGACGCGATTATTTCGTGTGTTATCGGTCTGAAAAAAATTTGCAATGACTATATTCCGACGTAAAATTTTATGCTCTTTCAGAATCCGTAGTCAAAATCACGATTAGACCTCAAGAAAAAAAAATATGGCCGATTTAAGCGTGAAAAACGTGAAAATTTTCGAAAAAAATTTTTTCTCGATTTTTTTTCGCATGCAATGTTATTGCAAAGGATTCATCTTAAAATTATGGCCAATGGTGGACAAACTATTTGAAGTTTAACAGGAAATTTTTATAATAAACATTTAACCACTCTTTTTTACAAAATGGCGGCGAAAATGTAAAAATTTTATAAAAATCGTTACTTATTTTTTTTCTCGAAAACTATTGAGTTTAATGAAAATTGTCAAAGAATAAAAATGTCTTAGAATTGATCAAAGAATACTCTCAAATTTTTTCAGAATTTTTGGAGAAAATTTTTGATTTTTTGGAAAACTCGGGAAATCCAATTTTCCAAAAATGTTGCAAAAAATTCTGAAAAAATTTGAGTGTGTTTCTCGACTAATTCTAAGACATTTTTGTTCTTACCAATTTTTCGCTAAAGACTATAGTTTTCGAAAAAAAAATTTGTCAAGTTACAAAAAAAAATTTTTCTTTGAAATTTTTCTTTGAAAGTTTTCAACGGGTTTATTTCTTATGTTATCGGTTTAAGAAAAATTTTACTGCCCATTCTGATGTATTACATCAGAAGAAAATCCGGTAACGAATTTTCATAATTCAAAAAGGCGCATCCAATATAGCGGATTGAACATTGAAAATTATTCGATATTATTTGCGAATAAAAAAAAAAAACTTATCGTATTCTCTGTGAAATTTTCAATAATTTGTTGATTGAATAAGTTTATTCTCGGAAAAAAAAATTATTAAATGCTAAATTTTACTATGTATTATGAGTAGAACTTGACGCTCGATCTATTTGGCTAGATAAAATTTGTCAAGTCTCCTTATATATATCTTGAATATATAATTGAAAAAAAATCTGAGCTCATTAAAATTTTCGATAAATATTACAATTAGATCATTTCTCATTTTCTAATATCACGTTCATTTTTTTTTTTACAAATCTGTTTTTTACACTCTGGTCTGTATCTGAAAAAATGTGAGTTGAAAATTTCTGTTCTATTTCGTGTGAAAATAAAAAATTTAATTTTATAAAATGCCTCCAAAACGAAAACGACATTTTGCTCGTAGTCGGGTACTTCACGAATTTGATGATTCTAATGATAATTACAACGAAATTATTGATATACCAAATCCAGATGATTCTGGAGATTCTGATTCTGATTCCGAAGGGGACCAGCTTGATTGCGAAGATGATGATCATTGTGAAGATATTGAAAATATTGCATCACAATACTTTTACAGAACTGTGTCTAAAACGTACTCAGATAATCAGAGTAAACTAGAAAATGATCATATTTATAAATGGATAGCCGGGGAGAAAATGCATAATACGATTCTTCAAAATGAATTATTACTAAATAACTCTCAGAGGAAAAAAATTTGTGAATCTAGTCCTGTTGAATTATTCGAGCTATTTTTTTCAGATGATATGAAAAATTATATTTTAAAAGCTACGAATGAAAATGGCTACGATCTCTCAAAAAGAGACCTAGAAACTTTTTTTGGAATAATAATTCTATCTTCTTTCAATAAAAGGAAATCTCAGAGAGATTACTGGTCATCTGATGCACTGTTATCTTGCGATATAGTTCAACAAGCTATATCACGATCCACTTTTGAAGAAATCAAATCTCATTTGAAGTACTCTAAGTCGGAGGATAAAAACCCTGGTGACAAGGCATGGAGAGTCCGAGTTCTGTTGAATAAGTTTAGGAAAAATATTCAAGGTTTTGGATATTTTAGTACTGCTCTATCCATCGATGAAATAATGGCCAAATCGTATGCCAGAACCTCTATAAAACAATTTATTCAAGGAAAGCCTATACGATTTGGTTTAAAGTTTTGGGGGCTTTGTACTTCAAACGGATTTTTATTAGATTTAGATTTGTACTGCGGCAAAGATTCAAATGTAAACATTCTAAATAAATGCGCTCTTGGTTCAAGAGTAGTAATGCATTTATTGGATCCATTTTTCAAAAAATTGTCTGCTTTAGAAATTCCTCAATTTCATCTTTATTTTGATAATTATTTTACTTCTTTCAATCTTATTTTACATCTTCAAAAACTAGGCCTAAGATCCACAGGTACAATAAGAGATAATCGCGTATCTAAATAAGTGAGACAAATGATTGAGAAAAACGCTCCGAGAGGTACATGTATAGCACAACATTTGACCAAAACAGTAAAATAAACTATATTAGTATCAAGGACTCCAAGCAAGTGTCAATTGCTTCGACTGCCGCTGGCGTAACCCCCCAATCATCGTCCAAAAGATGCAACACAAAGAAAAGAGAAAAAACTGATATACTTTTTCCATATGTTTT